GGAGCATTGGTAGGTGGAGCACCTCATTTGGGGTGTGTTGTGTCACCCACAAACCAGGCCTGTGCCTGCTGCAGCTGCGAAAAAGCTTCTCGTTCTCCTTTAAAATCGGAATTATGTAGATTATCTCCCCCGCAACCCCGTGGTTAATGAGCGTCCTGCAAAGCCGGGGTTTCCTGCAGTGTCGCCGTTGGTGAGAGTCCTGCAGTGGGTTTGTGCGTAAAGCAGCCAAGGTGCCAAGGGAGGGTCAACGTGAGATCCCGGGGATGGGGTAAACCCAACGCTTCTTGACCCTCACCCTGGTCTCGGGTCTCTGAGTGGTTCCCGGTCGGCTCTGCGAGCTCACCCAGAGCTCGTGCACGTCGCGGGGACGGCAGAAGCGATTCCAGCCCAGCCCTTGGAGGGAGTTTTACAGCGAGATAAGGATTGTTGCCGATTATGCAATAAACCTCAGGATCAACTTTCTCTGTGTTTAGCGCCTGGGTTGGTCAGTCGTCGGCATCTGAGAGGAGCAGCGGGAAAGTCCTGGCCTTGGTTACTAGTAGATTATTTTTTTTTATCAAGAAGAGAGACTGTTGATGGAGAGCATGAGGTGGGGAGGCTTATTTTGTGTACTGAGGAATGGCTAAATCCATGTTTTAAAATCTCTGCCCTGATTTTCAATGACCCAGAGCAGGTTTTCACAAATACAGACCGAGGAAGGGGAACCTGCAGCTGATAGCCAGAGCCCTCAGAGGTGTACAATGACTGTATAAAATAATAATATAAAATAATTCCAGCGTGAGTTAAGGACTCTGTGCAGCACCCTTCTCGATGCAGTCTCCGATTACACTGACTTCCGTAGCTTTTATATATCTGAGCTGAGCCTTAGCAGCTTTTTATCCTGGCTTATGTAAAATCAGTTGAAGCGGGGATTAAGATCCGGCAGGTGCCCACCCCGTAAATCAGTCCTGCCAAAATACCTGGCATGGGTGCTGGAAGCGGGTCCCAACGGGCGATGGAGGGTGACCTGGCTCTTCTGGGCAGGGCTGTACGGCAGCGACGTCCCCGTGCTCTTGTGCTGCTGCTCGTTCCCTTTTTTTTGCCTAGAGCTCTGCCTCCGGAGCTGCCTTGCAGGGGTGTATATGCAGAATATGTATATATGTATGCAGAATAAATCATTGAATAATGACAGAAAAGCATTTCCCCCCCCCGAATTCCCAGGAAGGACGGTAGCCTTGCAGCCAAGTCGTAACTTGCTGTTAGTTACTCCTTGTCAGGAGTAACTAATCTTTACCTGCAGCAGCGAGTGCTGTGATGTCTTGTTGGAGAAGCCAAATCCATGCTTTCTTCTCCTTTTCTTAATCTTGCAGTGCTAAAATTAATCAGGAATCAGGCTCGCAGTCCCTTGTCCATCAGGAAACTTTCTCAAAAAAAGTAGGGGTTTGTTTGAAGGCATTTAGGGGTGTTGCACCAGGTTTCTGTTGGGGTACAGTGAAAATCGGAGCCTGGCTCCTTGGGCTTCTTGTAAAAGCCTCTCGTCACTCGGAGGCTTTGCCAGCAACCTTTATTGCTGTATCTTCTGGAGAGATGTTTAGCATTCGGTTTCTCTGCACTGTCTTCCTGGCGTGAATTTTAGGAAGTTTTTCAAACTGAGGAATCTTTGGTAAAGTGCTCCCAAATAAGATTTCTCATCAAGATGCAAGCGCGGCACGGTCTGCCCTAGCATCCCAGGCATCACGCGTGCGAAAGATGAGCTCGAGGCAGGAAAATGTTCTGCTGAGTGGCTCGAGGCAGAGTGCTGAGATTGCTGTTAATTTTACAGGTTGGGTGGTTTTTTGTTTGGGTTTTTCTTTATTTCTTTATTGCAAGTTAAATGATTGCTTTGAAAAGATCTTGGAGGTTGTTAGCAATTTCTTTCTAATACAGAGCCAGGGCAGAGATGATTCTCGAGAGGTGCAGGCGGGTTGGAAAGCACGAGGGACTCCAGTCCTGTGCTGCGGGGCTGCCGCTCTCCCCGGGCCGGGAGGGAGGGCTGGGGAGGGCACCACATTTACACAAAGTGCTTTCCATGCAGAAGATGATTCTAAGCCACTGCTGCTCCTTTGCTCTAACCTGGATTGTGCGGTTGAGTAAAGGAGCAAGCAAGACGGGGATTTGCTGGTCAGCCTGAGAGATTACAGCTTTTAAACTCGTTTGGGTCCCAGCAAACCCTGCTTTTGCATTTATCCAAACAACCCGTGATGCTCTTTACTATGCAAAACTGGCTTTATGAAGTTATTTGCAAGATGACTTCAAGGGGATGGAAAAATCTTCCTCCGGGCAGATGTTCCCATCGTCGCTGCTGTTTGTTTCTCTAATGTGTGTGTTGCGTGTATTTTGCAAGTAAATGAATGGTGCTCGTTTTCAGAGCTGTGGGGAGAACTGAAACATCTGTTCTGTGCTTGCCTTTTCAGCGAAAGGTATGAGAGGAGAGAAGTGTGTCTGACCACCGGCGGTTATCCCCAGCCTGCTCGGTTACAAAGACAAAGGCTCGAAGACTCTTCTCCCGCCCCCAGGCTGACGGTAGGACTGTGCAGGGCAGCTGGGAGGACTGGCTTATTATGGGGACTGTTTGCCTCAACCTCTTTCATAGATAAGAGGCGAGCGGGGCTAGAGAGGCGATTGGCCTCTGCAGAGTTATTTTTGGGGCAAATAAAGGCTGGTGGTGCCCATCTGTGGGGTAAGATGCTGTGGGAAATGAGCTGTTTGCTCCTTTGCGGGAGGAAAGAGAGGGTGCAAGCACCGGGGAGACCCGTTTTTCTAAATATGGGGAAGGAATCGGTGGCACGTGATACTCTGGAGAGGACAGGGGAGGACTCTCCTCCTTAAAAACCTGGAGGGTTTGAAGGGAGCCCATTTGTTGGAGCAGATGGGATGGGAGGTGTGGACACCGCACCCTGCTGCAAATTGTTTCTTGGTGGCAAAAGAGGAGAAAATGTGGCAGGGCTTGCGCTGAGAGGAGGACAGTGTTGAGCAGAGTGCCTTTATTTACGGGCAGAGGAAGAGATTGGAGCACGAGGATAAGTGCTATAAATCGTGTGGGGCGGGAGCAGCGGGGCAAGGATGCGGTGTGTTGGCTCTTCTTCGTCCCTGCGTTGCTTTGGTCGCTGGGTCTCACGCTTAACAGCGAAAAGCACTACGGAGCTCAAATAGTGTTGGAGAGATGCAGGATAAGAGGATTTTTTTTGAAGCTTTTGGGTTGGAAAAGCTGAAGCCAAGTGTTCCTAATAGTTCCTATAACAGCAGCAAAGCAGCCCTTTAATTTGTCTTTAATTTGTTCAGGCTGAGAGTGATGAACTGTAATGTTGTAAGAGCTGAAGACTCAAATTTGCAAGGAAAGCTTCATCCCTGCTCCAGACGGTCTCAGCTGAAGGCTCAGTGTGGGACTGGCTTGAGCCGAATTATGAGGTACCTGCTTGCCCATTTTCAACTCCCAGTGCCTTAAATGCTTCTTAAATAGTTTTATCCTTAAACCCTGGTTGCTTGGAAAATGACCCACTGGAGATCCTCTCGTACCTTAACTGGTACAACCGAATCCCGTGCTGGGTTTGATGCTGTGGTTCGGGTGTAAAAGGACAATTTCTGAAGTGCTTGCTGCCTGCAAATGGAGTTAGGAGAAGCTGTGACTCAGCGTGTGAAAAATTAACCGCTTTGTAGCACTAATATTCCCCATCTACTGCAAATGCAAGGCTAAATTCTTCCCCTCCTTTAAGCATGCCTAGTTTCTTTGGCATTGTGTAACTGCTGAATTTGCCCCGTTATCTGCGAGGGAACTTTCTTGCCTGTGGCAATGTTTTAGCTCCTTAATACCGCTGTAATGTTCTGTAGCTCTTTATTAAATATGGACCGCTTAGTTTTGTGCTTGAAATAACCCATTTGGCAGTTGAAAGGAGCGTTTCTGTGGAGGAAACAACTCTCTTGTTGGTTTAATATTTAAAAAAAAAAGGGGGGGGAGCAAAAAAAAGGATCATTCCAGTGGCTGGGATGGTTGCCATGTAAAACCCTTATGACATCCCAGACCCACATCATAATTTTAAATAACTGGTGATAATGCAAAAAAAATTGCAGCCTCACTACCTGAAAAAAAAGTCAAAGCAGCTGTGTTACATCTTGCCCATCCAAATTAAATCTGTAGGATGCTGGTTGAATACAGGTTCAGCGTTGCTGCCCAGCTCTGGAAGCTGCTTTCGTGTGTTCATCGAGTCCCCGGGAGTCACTGGATGATGGGTGGGGAGGGTGGGGAGAAGGGGAGCGGAGTCTCTGGGAGATGGGTACGATCTTTGTGTGCTGTACTGGCTTTAAGTAGAATTGGGTTTGCTTGCAGGTCCTCTGTACTGTGGCAAACATCACCGTGCCTGGGAGAATGAGCGGCCGTGGGGCAGCACCCTTCTCGAGGAAACAGAGGTTTTTGTGGAACAGCTGTTCTCCATGTCCTCATGGAAGTTTAATCCGTGTATCTCTGTACCGTTACTGTCCTCGCATCCCTCCCTGGGGCTAATTATTCATATCTGAATAGAATAAGCTGAAATCTCCTGCTGTGCTTTGGCACTTTTGAGGTCCTTGGCTGCCTCATCCCGAGAGGTGAGTCAGCTTTGCTCTCTCGCGGTGGTTGGGAAAGCTGGGGGGGGCGGCTCTGCGGCTCCGACACCGAGCTGTCGGACTGCACACGGGAGGAAGTCTGAGATACGGAGAGACACGGCTCAGGAGCAAAGTCAAGGTGAAGCCCATGTCCATCCGGGCTGTGGACCTTGTTTTGTTCCCATCAAATAATGCTTTGCACTATGTGTTTCTTAGATGGCTTTAATCACATGTGCAGGAGAAACATCTAGATATACAAACTGAATCTGTCATCTAAAAAAATTCCTATTTTCATTTTTGCTGCTGTTTATATTTCCCGGTGCAGAAGGTCTGTGCCGGCGATCGCTTTCCCATCGTGGCTGTGATCAAAGACCATCCTTTAAAATCCCCACCGCAGAATCACTTCAGCCGAGCGTGGGGCCGTTGTTCGGGTTGGCTTTTTTTAGCTTCCGTTTCTGGGCCGAAGGCTCAAAGAAGAAAGAAATAGGTGAGATGAGAGCACAGGCTCCAGCGAAGAGGAAAGAGCAGACATATGTCTGTGTGTAGTCATACAGCCACCCTGCAGGAGAAAAGATTGTTATTAAAGCTGTTGGATTTTTCTCACTGAAAAAAAAAAAATCATTTTGGGAGGTGGGCGGCAAGCAAAGGATGTGTGTTGTCATTTAAGAATTCCTCAGATATTTTCTTTAAATTATCTTAACTCTTTGTGTGCCTGCAGCATTTATATGGACACTTAGCACTATTGCCATTGGGATAACCAGCAAACTTGTAGGTCATTCTTCCTGGAGCTAACTTTTCCTGATCCTGGTAGTGGATGTGGATTTTAATTTGATTGAATTTAATCCCTGACTTTCCCCTCTCCCCTGTTTAAATGGGCCAAAAGTAGCTGCTGCAGCAGATGGAAGATCCTGTCGGACTAATGAGATGACTTGCATGTGTTGGTGTTTGCAACATCTGGGCTGCAAACTCCAGGTTCTCCAGCCTTGCCTTCTTGTGAGCAGCCCCAATTTAATGCAACCTGTCTAATATGAGAGATCCCAGGCCAGGAGCTTGAAGTGAACTTGCTTAAAAGTAGTTTTGCGAGCACTTAAAAGGAAAAACTCAATTCCATAAAGACTCAGGAATCTGTGAGGGGGCAGGTCACCTTTTAAAATGGCCTCAAAGCGTTTTGCTTAGTTACGGCACATCATCTCATGTGCAGACAATCCTTTTAAAGGTGGATAATTCCTCCCTTTGAATCTAAAATATCCAAAGGGATGAGAGTTGCTGCTGCACATAATAAAACCCTTAACATGCTCCTAGAGCTGGCCTGGGATGGTTGGATGACCGAGTCGGGTTAGCAGCTCAGCCGGATCTGCTGCTGGTGTAAAAGGCGATTCCTCCAGTGACATCCGGGGACTCGCGTGATTTATACAAACGTCAGATCTGGCCCAAATTTGGGATTCTTAAAACCAGCTCTGGTTAGGAAGGGAAATAATTTAGTCCCCGGAGCGTTGCCGCCGCTGTTATCTGCGAGTGCCACGGCTCTGAGTAGGGAAGAAAATGGTGCTGGTAAAATTTGGGGATCTGTGACAAACCAGGGGTGCCAACATTTTCCTTGCCGTAGATTTCCACGGCTGCGGGAAGGTTTTATAGAACAGAGGAAAGGCTGCAGGCTGCTTTGCTCTACCCCAGTTTCAGTTTCTGTTGGCTCCTGCCTTTCTCGGGGGAACTTTCAGCTCTGGTTCGGGTTTTTTTCTCAGGGATATCGTGTGAGCTGCGGCGCAGCTGAAAGGAGGATCCCATGGTGCTGGACATGGTGACATGGGTGGCTCTCCCGTGACCCTCATGTTTTGGCAGAATGGTTTATTCACAAAGGTGGGATCTGGTTTTGCCATCTGAAGGTCTGTGGGATTTGGAGAGTAGAAGGGATGCTAATGCAGTCATCTGTAAGATGTACAGGACTGAGTGTTCCAGTTGTGGAGCTCTGATTTATTTTAATTATTTTTTTAAATATCCTTCAGGATATTTTTTGAAAATTTTGGGGTTTTTTTTCTATAAGCTCTACTTGGTGCTGAAACACCAGCATTGCCTCTTTGTTGCCAGCACACCGACTGCCTTCCGCCGCATCGCCCCCCAGCCTTTCCAAGCCCGTACAGTGTACGTGCCCCCACTCCCCACCCAGAAAATAAATAATTCATGCTGCAGAAAGCTGAATTAGAAGATGGAGGTGTGCAAACTTCAGCAAAGCAGCAGTTTTGTAAGCAATGCCAGAAAATCCCTGCCACCTGAGTGGTCCAAGCTAGACATACTCGTGCTGCGGGCTGTGGTCAGGCCGATCCGTAATCAGAAATTTTGTTTATCCCTGATGTCCTGAGTAGCAATATCTAGTGTGAAGATGCAGGGAAAATTTTGATGAGAGCATCTAAACGCAGGTGCCAGCACAGCTTTCAAATGGCTCCATCCTGTCCCCCTTCGCCACGCGATTCTGCTGGGGCCGGAGTTCGCGCGCTGGTTGCTGGAATCAGTTTTGTAATTTTGGATTACGTGGTTTGTTTTATTTCTTTTGCAGTTTGACTCACTGATTTGTACTGTTTATGGAACTAAAATATACTCTTCTCTCCCTAGTTTGCTTGCAGCGTGCCAAAATAATGTTTGTTCTGTTTTGGTTTGGGTTTTTTCTCAGCGCAGCAGAGGCATCCAGCAGAGCTGGCGGACGAGGAGCAGGGAAGGAGCCTTCAAACTTTTCACCCTGTGCTTTCGGTCGGGCCGTCTGCCTCCGGATTTAAGGGCTTTTGCTTCAACAGATTTGCAAGTCAGTCACCTTTTCATTGCATTGTGATGGGCTTTGTTCTAGTACACAAAATAAGCGGTTTTAACCTTTGCAGTTCTCGTTATGCCTTGGGTTTCACTGCATTAAAAATACTTGAGTTTTATAAAATTCTAAAGTGGAGGTTTTAGGGAGGTCAGCAGCACTCAGAGGCCCTAAACCCCAGGGTTTAAATCCTGTTCTGTGTTCTGCAAGGAGCAGATGCTTTTGGACACTTAAAATGAATCGGTAGCTTCTGGTCATATTCATTTTTCACGCTTAATACAGCTGTATCGGAAGAGAAAATTGCAGAATTTATCTTGGATCACAAACCGAGATCCTGAACTCTGAACTGTTTCCCTCTCACTCTGCCTACAGTGAGACAAATCAGCAAGGCTTTTGCTTCTTGGCTTTATTTGGCCTTTATGTATCCCACCAGTATTAAGACGACTGATTTTCGTGGACGGCTTTTTGCAGGAAACCTGCTTGCTTTACAAAATCCAGAAGCATTCACATGGTGAGTGGTTAGCACTTTCCGAAAGCCAAAGGTTTCCCGTTAGCCCAAATATATTGGATGCGGATGAAAGCGTAACCGCTATCTTAGCACGTACAATGCATGGATAAGAGAGCACCAAATTATTTAGCTCTCTTCGTACTGGATGTTACTGCGTCGGGGAATTTACTGCGATGGTTGTACAGGGATTGCTTTCTGGTGGACATACATCTTGTATCAGCAGAAGAGATCTTATCCGATGGAAGCTATGTATCACTGTGACAGTGTAAAGCACACTGTCAAAGAAATGCTTTAGTTGCTGGAAATTACATCCATATACAGAGTTTTGCCAACCTAAAAATTTTGATTAAGGAAATCGATTTTTTTCACATGCTGGCGGTAGAGCAGCGTTGCTAAAACTTTGCACGGAGCTTGTATTTCCTGAATCCTTGGCGGCTTCGAGCAAAGTGCCTCTGCAGGCACGGGGCAGCTGAGTGAGGAGGGCAGGAAGCGATAAGTGAAGGACTTGCCAGGTTTTATTCAGGGTACATTTGCTAGGTGAGTGATGGGACATCGTTCACACTGATATTTGACCCTGCAGCTTTTTCTAGTCCGCTTGCGTCCTGAGGACCTAGGAAAAGCCGAGACCCTGTTCCCAGCTGCGAGGTATGGTTAAAGGGTCAGCACGGAAGGAAGAGCTTTGTCCTGGCCAAGATGTTCGGAGGAGAACAAGTCCCTCTCTTGTAAGCAGAGACTGCAGACTTGCTTCTAAGCACTTGAAATCTGCCAGATACTCACACCCGCCCTGGTTTTCTGGCGGAGGGAGAAGAGGAAAGGCTTTTCATCCCCCTTATCTTTGGGCCCAGGAGCTCTTGTGGCTGAGCTGTGTAATCTTCTTCAAAACAAGAGATTACCGAGACTTCTCCTTAGGTTTCAGTGCCTCTGCATGGTGGGACTGCTGCTGAGCCCGTCCTTGCATTACCTTCCTCTCCTCATCTCCCCTCCAGTCCCTCTGTTCCAAGGTCAGTGTTATAATGTCCCATTGGGGGTAAAATCCATGGTAACGTGGTCGTTCCTCTTCTGCTGTGGTCAGGGTTAAAATGGGCGGGGTGGGGGGGCTTAGCCACCTTTTTTCCACGTGGTTTTTTCCAAACCACTAGTTGGGTTTTGCAAATCCACGAGCAAAATATTGCCTGTGTATAAAGATATATTTCTGAAATATGGTTGGCTTTTTTTTCTTCCCCCTCACTTGGACAGAAAAACCACCCTTAGATGCATATGGATAGGAGAGCGAACCAGCAGCATGTTTTTATCCCTGGCTGTCTGCGGTGGGTAGATATTATATGCAACATTAGAATTAGAATTACCTGCTAGGGGAGGTCCACCGATGGCTGCTATCCCAGCAAAGAAAGCAGCAAACCCCAAGTAGCTGTGGAGTTTTTGCACACCCACTAGATCAACCTGTTTGTAAACCAAAATGGATAATTATTGATTGAGTTCACGTGAATGCGCAAGAGATTTATGGAGTTTTTTCTGGGGAGTTTCCTTTTCAGCTGCAGTTTTGAAAGGACTTTGCACCTGTAGGTCTGATCGAGCCTGGAATCCGCTCGCCTCCTTAAGGCCAGCATGGAAATTACTGGGATGCGAGATGCTTTCTGCCTTCCAGCTGCTTGAGCATCTCCTGAAACCGGTAACGCCACTATGCCTTTGAGGAAGGTGTTTTAAACTCTGAATTTCTTCCCAGAAAGAAACACCAAATCATAATGATGCCTCCCTATCCGGATCCTGCCCTGTCTGGTCTGTGCGTGTTGGAGATGATTCTGGGATCGGGAGCAGATATGCCCAACCCTGAGCGTTAGTGAGACGGGGACCAGGATGAATCCGTTAATTTCCCACGACCTGGAGCAGTCTCCTTCAGAAAGGAGGACGTGGAAGGCAATTAGCAGGGCAAGCTCATTAAAAATCAGCAATAAACTGCCAGTGTTTCTGCTGCATCGGGGCTGTGGATACCAGTAAGTGGGTTGGAGTGGAGAGTTGGGGCTCCCCAGTGGCTCGGACTGGGAAGGCTGGAGGGAAGAACCCTCTCGTGCTGGTCTGCAGCAGCCCAGGGTAGTTCAGCTTTAGGAAAGGGTTTTCGGATACTACTACTGTTGGAAATGCCACATACTGCGTTTTTATTATTTGTTTTTAATGAAATCTCCTACTCACCAGCACAGGGAGGACCAGAGCCATGAACCCACCGCAGAAAACGGCAAAGGCCACTGCGTAGGTCATGAGCGACGGGAAGGTGGTGGCCAGAGGACAGAGCAGGTTGGTGATGCCGGCGAGGACGAGGTAAGCCACATGGTAGTGATACTTCTTGGTCCAGTTCTGGTCGGCAACCCAGCCTGAGAGCAGCTGGCTGACCATCTCCGTGATGCCTGGGGGGAAGAGGAGTTCACTGCAGCCTCAAAGAAAGCTTTATTTTAAATTTTTTTTTTTTTTTTTTGCTATTTTGCATTGCATTCCCTGAAACGCAGCCCGATTCCACCAGCCGCTCACTGTAAAAATGTGGCCACAAAGGGCTGAAATGCCGGGAAGTTACAGGAAGGTGTTTTTAGGCTGTTGTAAAATTCATGCTTTTTTTTTTTTTCCTTTACCTTGGTGCCTGCTATTGCCAAGTGCCTGTGGGCGCACTAAAGTGGTCTGTAAAATTCAATTAAGGGGTCTGCGCTCAGCAGAAAACTCTGAAATGCCCTTCAGTAAAAATTGGAAAGATAAGCTTGCTGTTCGATCTTCTTCAAGATAGAGAAAAAGCAGAACGTTAAGAAGAAATATGCTTATGAGATTTTAATTTTTTTTAAAGAACAGAAGACCAGCATTTTCTTTTAAAGGCTCAGTAAACTTTTGATACTTGGATTTTACATTTCTCAATATGTTTTTAGGTGCTAAAGATCAGAGGATTGCTCACTGCCAGCTAATATCTTGCTGTCCATTGTGTCCCTCCTACTCTTAATTCAAAATGTCAGATTAATTCCTGTGCTCTCCTTCAAGATTCCTTGACAGTGTACATCATTTCTAAATATTGTACGGCAGTGTAGAAGTAAAATTTATTTTTGTACAATAAAATATTTTATGATGACTGAGATTGCAGCTGCTTTCTTAATCTGATGCAACTTTAGTGTTAATCCCTGCTTATAATCAGGCATGTTGTTATTTTTATGGGCTGGGGGTTGGCTTGTTTTTTGGTTTTGTGTTTTGTTTTTTTCCCTTGGAGGTGAATATGCCAAATCCAAATGGCTAGATCCAAGTTAATGGGTGCTTTTTTTCCCCCCCGATACTGAATTTTTCTCTCTCTGTGCACATTCCTGGGTCAGACTGGAGGTCTGTGAATGCCAGGTGACTCTGGATTTCTGTGGCTTGTGGGTTTAAGCAAAGCCGGGGCCCTGATGGGAAGGCTTTAGGAGGACAGATAGCACCTATGTAACTGGAAACTTGTGTTTGCTTGCTGCAGCGAGGATGGGGGATCATCTAACTTGGGTTGAGAGAACCACCCACCATGTGAGAGCGCCTTTGTACAGGGACAGAAGGCAATGCTATATATACAGAAGAGGGGTAAGGGCTGTGAGCGAAACCTCTTTCACGAAGATTTATTCTAGGACATGTTTGAGACTATTTCTCGGCAAGATTTGTGTTGCTTTTCTTTCCTATTTTGGCATCATTGTAATTGTAAATGGGTTTAAAGGATTCTTTTGCCTACCAGCCACGGAAATGAGGTAAGAGGCATCCATGCTGCTTATGCCCAGCGTCCTGGCTCTTGCTACCAGGTGGAAGATGGGCACGAAGTAGGCCAAGTGGCTGAACAAAAAAGACCAGGTGAAAATGCAGAAGACAGGATCCTTCAGTGGAGAGAAGTCGAGGAGAGGCTCTGAGTTTTCCTTTTCAGTCGGTGGGAGGGATTTGAAGCTCCTCTTGGCCTCGGTGGCTATTTCTGGCGAGCAGCTGTCCATGGGGGGTTTCTCAAACCCTTCCAAAGCCGGCGTATTTACCGGACCAGAGACATCTCTGCCATGGAGCATCACGACTCCCTCCGCGGTGGGAAGGTCCTGCATGCTGCGAAGCTGTATTTCCCTGCGAGCGCTTTCGTCTGAGCATCCATCGAGGGTTTCTGAATCCTGCTTTGCCATTAAGGACCCATGGCCTCGACTTGTAGCAGAGGGGTGCTGAGGCGGCTGGGTGCAGCTGGGTTGCAGCAGCATGCTGGAAGGCACCAGGTTTAACATGATGCCTCCAAAAATTAGGAGAGTACCTGAGGGAAGACAGAAGATGGGGTTGGTTGGTTGGTTAGTTGGTTTTGGGGTTTTTTTGGCGTGGGAAAGGAGGAGCAGTAGGAAATGATCTTTCCAGATCAGGGTGCGGTTTGCATTGAACATGGAGAAAGCTCTGCTGTAAGGAGGAGGTATCTTACAGGAGCTTTTATTCCTGTTTTACTAGCTGGAAGTCCCTTTCCCTGGGATGCACGCAGCAAATCCAGAGCTACCTCTGGAATTTGGGAGTTGGTTTTGTTTTCCCTCATTACAAGTCCATTACACGTGATGGACCTTCAAGATGGCTGGAAAAGTGTAGTAAAAGTAGGGATTTTCAGTTTTGGTTTCTGAGGTCTCTGTTTTGACTCTGACTTAACTTTAATGACTGATTAAGTGCTTAATCATTAACAAGACATCCCCAAACTGTCTTAGAAGAGGCAGAGCTGTTCCTCGGTGCATCCAATTTTAATTTTTAAAAAGAGCCCCTTATCCTGCCTGGGTATTCTTGAACGCCCTCTTAATGCTGATGAATTTGAATAAACGGGAGATGCACTCACCTTGCCAGCCGTAAAAATCAATGAGAAGTTGAGTGAACGGTGCTATTAGAAACGTCAGCCCCATCCCAGAGCGGGCGATGGCGTTGGAGAAAGCCAACCGTGTCCTGCAGCGCTTGGCCATCATCACCGCAGCTGCCTGGTAAAGGCAGGCGAACCCCATACCTGCGGGAAAGGGAGAAATAAGGTATTTGTGCCCAAAAAGTGATTGCTTTTTATTGTGAGCCTTAGGGATTCAAAGTCATGCCATCCCAAGCTTGTTGTCCCCATAGCAGAGGTACTCTGCAGGGTTCATGGGCTGAAAGTGGGGGGATTTTTGCTCTTGCAGTCAGTGGAGAACAAGATTTCATGAGTGGAATTTAATATCTGGGGGGTTTAAGGCTGTGCACTTCTCATAAGGGATTTTAAAAGGCCAGGATTCACCACGTATGTCGGGTCCAGAGAAAAAACCAAGGTTAGTTGGGTCTAGCATGTTGACACTGGTATTTTATGCTCCTGAGCATGAAACATTGGGGTTTCACATACCACCTCATGGAAGGGAGCTGGGGATGGTTTCCTATTAAAGGAACTGCCTGGTTTACCATGAAGGGAGCACAGGGAAATCTCTGCCTGGCTGCGAGTCGCAGGCTGCTCACCCAGGAGGAGTCCCATGGAGACGCAGAGGAAGGGGACGCTGGTGGCCTGGGTGCTGAGCAGGCAGCCCCCCCCAACCAAGCCGGCACCGATGATGGCCCCCGATGATGGAGGTCGGCCGCTCACCCAGCCTCCTGCAGACCACGGCCACGAGCGGGGCTGGAAGGGAAAGGAGGGAGAGGTCTCAGGCTGAAGATGGCAAACGAGGCTTTGAAGGGCTTGGGGACTTGTTAGTGGGTCGTTGTGTCTGGTGCCCTGGCCAGTGGCCTGTGTGCCACCCTAGGAGGGGGGAGGGGGTGACAAGAAATTCAGGAAGGGTTAATATTCCAGAGAGTGGCCGAGAGACCTTGCCCTGTACCCTGGGAGCTCGGGGGACAGGAGAAGGAATCAAAGCCCAAACTTCCAGATGTCCCGAGCTTGCTCCCTAATGCACGCCGTGAATTATTCAGCAACTGGTTTGCTCAGAGGCAATAATATTGGTGAGGCTTTGCTCGGAATGCACGTGATAAAGCTGCTACAGGGAGGCATCATGATCCCCATCCTTGGATCCTCTCCTGCTAAGATACATGTGGGTACCAGCCGTGTCCGGCTTGCAGCAGTCTGGGATGGAGATGGGATCCACAGAGGATCTGTGGTGCCCCTTCTATCGCAAGAAATGGGCTTGAGGTTGAAGTGCCGTCCTCATCCTTACGGACGCCAGCTTACCTCCTAAAAAGCGCAGGGAGGACATGATGGAGCCGATCCAGCTGACTTGCTCGGAGGAGCCCCCCACCTCCTCTTGGAACGCCACAAAGAAAATCCCGAAGGTCTTGAGCATCCCCATCACGAGTACGTTGACCTGCATTAGAAGCAGATGGAGGTGAGAGCGCTTTTCCTTCTGCTTTTCTTGCGTGGATAATTTGTTGTGTTTGGGGAGAAACAATCTGGGTCATGTTAACTGGAGTAGCCTGTGTTGGGGAATATCAGCAGGGTGGACCAGTGGTGGCTACGCTGCCATTTATTAACAGACCCTCAAAAAACCTTCTGTGCAAACTGGCTTTTCCAAAGAAAAGGAACAATATAACACTAGAGCCTGACTCTTGTAGGTTGTTTGGGTTTTTTTCTCTGTAAGTTATTTTTTAAATACTAAAAAATAATCTAAATGGGTCTGAGTGCTCAAAGATCACTAGGAGTTGATGAGGTGTTGCACAGGGATGGGCATGAGCCGGAGCGGTTTCGCAGGCTTGCCCTGCCACGGGAGCAAAGGACAGTTTGTGTCCTTAATTTTAACTCCCTCCCTCCTCCCTGGCAGCAGGTGGTTAATGATCGGCAGCGAGTTCCTTTGGCTGGAGTGGAAGTGGGGAAAGCGTTCCTGTGCTTCCTAGCTGGGGAACGGAATTGTCTTCATCCCTGATGAAGATGGTGTGTGGTATCAAAGCCTGTGGCATGGAGAGTTAGTGCCTTTAGGTGGTGTGGAGATGCTCGGTCCTCCCGGGAGAGAGTAACCAAGTGCGTGTGCTGCCCACACCCTGCGCCACTCCTGCGGTCGGTCCCTTGGACCCGTCTCAGCTCTGACCCCCTGCTGCCCCAAGGTGGGATCTCGTCCTTACCGAAGGTACAGACACCCCTTTGGGGTTTGGCACCCCAGCGATGGTGCGTGTGAGTAGGGAAAAGTCATCTTCTCATTGCGAGCTGCCTTTTGGCCCTGGGCCGCAGGTTGGGCACCCTTGTTGACATCCCTGAGATGAGGTGGCATTTCATGGGGGAAGGGGTGTGTGTGTCTGCTCAGCCCCTGGTGAAATGGGTGATGGCACTCGGTGTAGCAAAGTAACGCTGATTTTTCCCCTTAGCTGGGTGAGATCAGCCTGTCCTGCCCTCAGCTCTGTGTGAGTGAGACTCGAGTCTTTCTCCCAGCCCCAGCAGGGTTTGGGTGATTTTGTTCTCTGCTTACCAGGAAGAAGTGGAACACCACTCCCCATGCCCACCCTCCGTCCGCAGCTTCAGCACCTGGGTTCTTCCCTGCTGCCAGAGCCTCCGGCTCTTCCTCTTTCCTTTCTCCTGGAAATGAGAATTTCAGGACACATGAACACCTCTCTCCATTGCTGTTTCAATTCAAAAACCTGTTCCCATGAAAGCATCAGCTGCCTTTGAACCCTTTTGCTGCTTTGCTGTTCATGAGGTAGGCGCCGGTATTTTGCATTCGGCTTGCAACAGCTTTTGAGGGTGGGCGAAGTTTTATCAACCTTTTTGCCAACAGATGTGAAGTTGCACGTTATCGCTGCCTGCAAACAGTTTAATATCCTTTCTCTTTCCCACCAAATTACTGTAACTACTTAAGCTTTAAGGGATTTTAAGTGACGAGCACCTTACTGCCGCCGTAGAGCAGATAGTTTGGTTGGTTTGTGTCAGAAGTCGGGGGGGTCACCGTCTATCTGTATCCATGGGTGAGCTCTTGTGGGAAGCTCTCCCTTCCCCGTCCTTCCCTGCTCACCTCCCTTCCATCCTCTCGCCCATCCCACACCTCTGGCAGCGGCAGGATCCTGCTCGAGCGAGCAGCAGGATCCTAGAGCAGTCGGGGCTGATGAACCTGAAACTTTTCCTTACCGCCTTGCTGCTGCATGCTGGAAAATCCTCCCCGAAACAGTCGATTGCGAAGAGGAATTGTCTCTTCATTTGCTCCAGAGACTAAATCCCCCCTTCCTGACTTGGCACCCCAAAGTCCCGTCCTTCATTCACCTCCGAGGAGGACGACGGTGCCCATCCTTCCTGACGAGGCCCGAAGTGGGACATGGAGCCCAGCAAGCACTGGGGCTGTGTGGACGGAGCCCGTCCTCCTCCTCCTCCTCCTCCTCCCTGGAGGCAGAGCGCGGCTTGGGGGCCCCCAGTCCAGGAGTCCCTCCCCTTCCCCAGCTGGGAGCAGGAAACCCGTGGGCTTGGAGCAGAAATCCTGCTGGGAGGAAAAGGAGGGGAAGCCTGTGAGGGCTATAGCTCCAGGCAAAGCCCTGGATCTTGCCAGACATCGAGCGGAGCAGGAGGTGGCAATGGTGGACTGCAGCGAACCCTGGGGCTCCTGACGGCTGCAGGGGAGCAGAGCCCTGGTCCCTGCCTGCCCTGCCTCCGGTGCGCAGCCCTTGGCCCGGGAAATTGTGTCATTTAGGAGGGGATAGTCTGGAAAGGTTTAGGTTTTCCAGCTAAGATGTTCGGCAGCTGGAGCAGAGCAGCTGTGCTGCTGCAGCCCTTGAGCAGAGCTGGGAATCGAGTTGGCTCCGTGGCTCTGTTGTAAATACACACGAACTCCTGGGTAAACACAGCCCTCGTGCTTCCTCCCCCCGTTTTGGCTGACCTGTCACCCCAATCAGCGTTGCTGAGGTCAGATAAAATTGTGGGATCGTGATACTGATCTCTGTTCCCCTCCCTTGGCAGAGAAGGCAAGGCTCCATCTTCCTGGGAGAGCCTCAGATAGATCAGAGCCTATGGAGGAGCTTTCCCTATAGTAACGCTTCTAATATGTGCATTAAGCTTTTATTGAAGTGGGATGGTTTTTGCAATGAGTAAGGTTTAAGGGCTCGAAGGACGGGGGGGCTTGGCAAGTGGGAGGAAGGTGGCAGCAGCAGCATCTGGTGCGCAGCATCTGTACTGGGAGCTGTCGGGTATCTGGGAGGAAATGCTCCAGCTGGAGCTGCTCCTGGCCCTGTGGGCTGTCAGAGAGCAGAGAACAGGGACCCTCCAACACCACCACACAGCTCGGACGCGCCAGCTCCTGCTGCCAAGGCCGGGGGGTTACGCAGCATTAACACCCACCCCGAGGGGTGCACAGAGCCCAGCCGCGCAGGGCAGACTCGTCCCTACCGCCTGTTTCATGCACAGCAACAACTGCGAGACTGCTACTGTCGCTGACAAGCGGAGCTGCTCCTAGTAGTAAAATCAAAGAAGCACAGATGTCATTTTATTTCTGAGCCAGCCCAATTTGTTAGCTCAAGCTCTGCTGCGAAGCTTGCCTTTCGCTTTACACATGGACAGATGCAGGCCAGCTCCTTTTTACTCCCTTACACATCAGAAGCATTTGAGCAGCGTTTCAAGGGAAAAGCCTTTCCGTACAATTGTTCCCTGCACCATTTCAAACGCTCGGATCCGTGAGGAGGGAGGCCTGGATTTGTGACGATATTGTCAACATCCATTTACAGTTCACGCAGGGAACAGGCAGGGCCAGCACGTTTAGGTTTAAACTTCGATCCAAGGCATAGCAAGCGACTCTCGCACAGAACATTTAACTACAGGAACTTCCTAGTTCCTTTCCC